AGGAAGTTCTGTGTCATTGGAGTGTTTCTTTATGCAATGCTACAGGCTGAAAAACACATCTAATGCAACGTAGAAATCATAAGCTCTATAGTTTCTCTAAATATGGAAAATTTTCCAGGCTGTCATCATTCTCACCCTTACATGTTTCACTTTCTGAGGTGCAGCAGGAAGTGCAGCAGGAGGGCCAGGAGACCTCCTTGGATGGATAAGGAGCTCCTGAGGAAAATTCAATTGAAAAAAGAGGCTTATAATAAGTGAAAGAGTACAGGGATGTTGTCCGGGAAGATAGGGACCAGGTTAGGAAAGCTAAGGCCCAGTTAGAATTAAACTTAGCTAGAGGTATTAAAGATAACAGGAAGGGATTCTACAAGGACATAGCAAATAAAAAACAGACTAGGGAGAATGTAGGCCCCCTCAGGAAGCTCTCGGGAGAACTGGCTACACAGGATTTGGAGAAGGCTGAGGTTCTGAATGTCTTCTTTGCCTCGGTCTTCACTGGCCAAGGCTCTGACCAAACCACCCAAGTCTTGGAAGGCAGATGCAGGGACTGTGAGAATGAAGCCCTTGCGCCCACTGTAGGAGAGGAACTGGTTTGAGACCATCTTAAAAAGCTGAACGTGCACAAGTCCATGGGTCCTGATGAGATCCATCCGCAGGTCTTAAAGGAGCTGGCAAATGAAGTTGCAAAGCCCCTGGCCATCATATTTGAGAAATCATGGCAGTCAGGTGAAGTTCCCGATGACTGGAAAAAGGGAAATATAACCCCCATTTTCAAGAAGGGGAAAATGGATGGCCTGGGGAATTACAGACCAGTCAGTCTCACCTCTGTGCCTGGCAAAATCTTGGAGCAGATTCTCCTGGATGGCATGCTAAGGCACATGAAAAACAACAAGGTGCTTGGTGACAGCCAGCATGGCTTCACTAAGGGGAAATCCTGCCTGACCAATTTGGTGGCCTTCTCTGATGGGGCTACAGAACTGATGGAGAGGGGTAGAGCAGTTGATGTCATCTACCTGGACTTGTACAAAGCGTTCGACACTGTCCCACACGACATCCTTGGCTCTAAATTGGAGCGACATCAATTTGATGGATGGACCACTCAGTGGATAAAGAACTGGTTGGATGGCTGCACGCAAAGAGTTGTGGTCAATGGCTCAATGTCCGGCTGGAGACCAGTAACGAGTGGCGTCCCTCAGGGATCGGTGTTGGGACCGGTCTTGTTCAACATCTTCGTCGCTGACATGGACAGTGGGATTGAGTGCGCCCTCAGCAAGTTTGCCGATGACACCAAGCTGTGTGGTTCGGTTGATACCCTGGAGGGAAGGAATGCCATCCAGAGGGACCTCGACACGCTTGTGAGGTGGGCTGATGCCAACCTCATGAGGTTTAACCATGCCAAGTGCAAGGTCCTACACCTGGGTTAGAGCAATCCCAGGCACAGCTACAGGTTGGGCAGAGAAGAGATTCAGAGCAGCCCTGTGGAGAAGGACTTGGGGGTGTTGGTTGATGAGAAAATGAACATGAGCTGGCAGTGTGCGCTTGCAGCCCAGAAAGCAACTGTAACCTGGGCTGCATCAAAAGGAGCGTGACCAGCAGGTCGAAGGAGGTGATCGTGCCCCTCTACTCTGCTCTTGTGAGACCTCACCTGGAGTATTGTGTGCAGTTCTGGTGTCCTCAACATAAAAAAGGACATGGAACTGATGGAACAAGTCCAGGGAAGGGCCACGAGGATGATCAGGGGACTGGAGCACCTCCCGTATGAAGACGGGCTGAGGAAGTTGGGGCTGTTCAGCCTGGAGAAGAGAAGGCTGCGTGGAGACCTCATAGCAGCCTTCCAGTATCTGAAGGGGGCCTATAGGGATGCTGGAGAGGGACTCTTCATTAGGGACTGTAGTGATAGGACAAGGGGTAATGGGTTAAAACTTAAACAGGGGAAGTTTAGGTTGGATATAAGAAGGAAATTCTTTCCTGTTAGGGTGGTGAGGCACCCTAACAGGAAAGGTGGAATAGTTTGCCCAGGGAGGTTGTGAATGCTCCATCCCTGGCAGTGTTCAAGGCCAGGTTGGATGAGGCCTTGGGTGATACGATTTAGCGTAAGGCATCCCTGCCCACGGCAAGGGGGTTGGAACTAGATGATCTTAAGGTCCTTTCCAACCCTAACGATTCTATGATTCTATGATTCTAAATGATGACTGGAACTTAGTGTTCAGGATTTGGGGACAGTATAGGTTTATGTCAGCAGTCTGAGATTTTCTTTCCACCAAGTTCCATAGCTTTAGACTAGTGGAACCAGGCAGATAAGAGTGCACATAACCCACATGACGTTACTACAGTCTCTTGGCAACAACAAAAATGATTTTGCTTTGCTTGGCCATGTTCATTTTGGGTGTAAATAACACATGCACAGGCAAATATTCCATGAATTTGGCAGAGCTGCACAAAGGGCATTGTGTCAGGAGAGCAAGCCACATGCATCCCATAGAACATGTATCCCAGAGCTTCTGTCATAGAAATGCTCTTAAACACATCAGCCTCTCTGACCGGGGTCAAGTCAAACCCAGCACAGGAAGAGTTTCCTCCTTGCTGTGTGAGCAATGCAGCTGGATCAGCATTGCTACACGTGCCTTTCACTTTCTTTACCATGGGGCATGTTTCTTGGGCAGAGGTGTGATCTTGCATTTCTCTAAGTGTATCTCAGCTGATCTAATGTTTTAGTTCGTGGTCACTTTCTGAATAAGCCCTTGAAACTTCCATTCAACAGAGGGCATTTGCCAGCAGATGTCATTGTTGCTGTGGCCAGTTTGAGTTTCACTGGCTTTAGCTGGGCTCAGATTTGAAGGAGAGACAAATATTTCTAAACCCAGCAATCCAGGATTGACTTCCAGGCTTAGAATATTGAATCTTTGGGAATAAAAGCATTCATTTTATTACCCCTTTATTTTTTATCAGCAGATTTTGCTCTTAGAATATAGACTAAGAAAAAGGCAGAATTATGTTAACTTCTTAAAATGAGCAGTATTTTTTCCACATGCTTTTAATGTAATTCAATTAATGCTAATTAATATGTGTTCAATACTCTGTTAATCCTAAAAGCATTTCTTAAGGAATCACAAAACTAATTGATAGAACTTGCATTTAAAGGAACATTTTTAGATGGCCAAAGCCATGGAGCAGTAGGGGAATTTATGGGACTTGTTCTATTGATTGAAATAATCTAGTTTTTCAATGTGTTCTATCTGAGCCTTGTTCTAAGTATCCCATTAAAGAAACACATTTTACATTTGCAAATGCTAACCTGAATACCTATTTTAGGTATTTTTCTAACGTGATCTTTTAAATTTACATCTTACAGTGATTAAATAGACTGCTTGGTTCTTCTATGTGACAACTGTTTACTTAGGGTATGGGTTAGAATGAGCCTTTGTGCTCATTGTAATTCTCTACTGAACTTAAGTGAAGACATCTGAAAAGACAATTTAAGCTTTTGATGGAGAAAATGGACACTGCTTAGCTAGGCGGATGACAAAAAGAAAACCACAGTTACTCTCTTTACTACCTTATTGTGAGACTGACAGATCCCTTTAGGGTAAGTGGCTGGGATTGGTAAAGACGTGAAATCACGATTACTCCACTGCACAGATTCATCAGGAGGGCTCCTCTCCAGTCCTTGCTGAGATTTGTTAGAAAATGATTTGTATCTATAATTACTAATATATTTAAAGGCCAAATCTTACTTACAACTCTCCAGTGAACACTCCAGTTAATATGGTTCTTCATTCTGTCACTGTAACCTCTTTGTGGAAGGGCAGAAAATATTGTAACCTGAGTTTCAGATGAATGTCTGTAATGGTAGTTGTCAGGGTAATTTGAAAAAGCCTGGTTTCCATAATATCTGAAACAGCCCAGAGCTGCAGAGTATGAAAGTACAGGCAACTTAGCTGCTCCTTTCTCTTTTTGCAGGTAATTGTCACATTTTACTTTGTCTTAGCAAAAAAAAAAAAAAAAAAAGCCTTTAAAAAAAAGACTTTATTGTGATACTCTAATGCATGAAAACACCCATAAATTATCTGTCTAACAGTTACAGTGCAGCTTCGAAGTTGTGACAACTTGGAAAAACCAGCCTGACAAGCAGGCTCACTTTGCTGTTTTCCCAAAACTTCTTGAGCATATAAGGAGAATTTAAAGTGAAGAAAGCAACTGCAGCACAAACACTTTTTGTTCTCAGTACACAAATTCCATCTCCCTGACTGGGGTCCTCATTTTTGTTTCTGCCTGGTGCATCAGATAAAACAGTGTTACAACCTGGCATAAACCAATAAACATTATCAGTTTCATCACTGGCAGGCAGCAGAGAGTTTGTAAGCTTTTCCAAGTGGACATCCTAGAGGATACAGTCTCTAGTGATCTACTACTCTGCCTATAGCTAAAGGTTTCTGCCTTGGCCCAGTCATGCTTTGATTTACCAGAATTCCTATTTATATTAGCAAAGAAAGAAAGGAGTTCTTATCTAGATTAGAATTATGCTATAGGAAAAAGAAATAAAGTGTTAAGTAAGCTTTAATATTCAGAACAAAGTAAAGAATTTTCATATAGGTGTGACTGCTGTATGATACAAATAAAAAGAAATTCTCATATACCTGGATAAAAAGAGTAAGAGTAATATTACATTTCTCTAAGATTAAGCTGTTCTTACTAGAGATGGTTTTTGAGCTTTAAGCTTAAATACAAATGCTTTATGAACACCTTCCAGATATATGTGCTGTTTAACCTGCTTTAGCAGATGCAATTTTCAGTTTCCCTAGACCATGCTTTCCTTGTAAATGCTATTTTTAAGAAATGAGCACTCTGTATTTCAAAGCCATCTGCTCTGTTCTCCTCAAGAGAGTAAAAATCACTGTACAGCAAACCCACATTGGCTAATTTTGAAGATCCCAAACTTCCACAACTGGTGCAACAGCCGTGTCCTGCTTTTTGAACACTGGCTCTTGTGGGGCACTCACCTCAGAGCAGCGGCACTGGACGCCGGCAGTACCCGGAATCCGGAGGGTTGTCCGAGCTGGTTTGTTGTCCGTAGCACCCCAGTCTGTGGACACTTTCCCAAGCCAGAAGAGCCATTCACATTCCCTCTGCCTTTCCAGCCTCATTCACTGCTCACAGGGCTCAGCTAGCTGCACTGACTCACAGAAATGAAGCTCCCTCTGGGTCCTAGTGCTGTAAACGTGTGGGAGCTGCACGGACTCGCAGGAATTCAGCCTCTGGCGTGGTGCCTAGACCATGCAGTGATGCACAGATGTGCAGTGAAAGTTTCAAAGTGTGCACTGGTATGACTGTGCATACAGAATACTGAGGAAAACCTCCAACTTCCTGGTTCCACTGTCAAGAACTGAAACCCTCTTTAAGGGAAGTTTTGTCCTCAGCCTTTCTACTTTGCATCTTAATCCTTGCTGTCCTTTAAAGATGAGAGTTCACAGAAAGAAACTTCATGCTCCCTGATGAATGGGTCCTTTTGAAAATCATCTGTGGAGGCATTTACTTGTGTGAGGAGTCTATAAACGAACCTGCAGGAACACTAATAGTTAACTGGTGAAGCAGTGGACTGGGTTCCCTGCAGGAACTGTGCAGTCCCTGTTATCAGCTGGCTGTAACAAGGGTCAGCCAAACGCTGATCTACAGTAGCAAAGAAATATTTGACCCTGACTTGGGCAGAGGAAAAGATTATATAAGAACCTTTCCAGACATAATATTCAGTGTTTAACATGCTTACCTTAAGCAACAAAGAGGTATGGAAATGTTTCCTATTATGTATGGGGAGGAGAATTAAGTACTTTACAGGGAAACAGCAGTGTGGTCTATAAGCACTGATAAATATAGGAAAGAAATGGAAAAGCAAAGATTTTTTAAGATGCCAGGGAAAAAAAAAATGTTGTTTAAAAACTGTAAAAAAAAATATTGGCTAACTATGTAGGGAACTGTGAAGCAGCCGCTTAGAATTTCGTAGTTCTCATTCTGGCATAGTGTAACCTTCGTGATTACACAGACATAAGGAAAGAATTTAGATCGTCCTCTGTTGAAAAGTAGACACAGCATTTTATCTGTGTGGAAATCATGGAACTTGTTTGATTCCATCCAGAAGAGGGCAGCCGTAGGGAGAGCCTTGTCCTTAATCCTCTGGGGAAGCGAAGGATGTGTGGAAGGTACTACATGAAGGTGTAGAGCAAGAAGGCAGAGTAGCTTGAAGGTAATAATGCTTCTTATTTACCACACGGCTATGCTTCTTTCTAAACCTGAAGCAGGCACATCTTCATGTTTTATTATAACTAGCTGGCAAACCTTAAATTTATTTCCAGTCAAAAGATAACTGGCTCCAGTGCTCAACTGTTTTTTGGAAGTGATGTGCATTTAAAATTGCCTGAAATATCCTTCAGGAAATGGCAGCACAAAATGCTTGATGCAAATGCTAATATTACCTTCCCAATTTGCCGGGAGTAAATGCTGCATCCCAGTGGGAAATGTTCCTTCCCTGGCAGTGTTCAAGGCCAGGTTGGACGGGGCTTGGAGCAAGCTGCTCTAGTGGAAGGTGTCCCTGCCCGTGGCAGGGATTGGAACTGGATGATCTTAAGGTCCTTTCCAACCCAAACCAGTCTGGGATTCTATGATTCTATGCAGAGTGCTTTATTTTTTCTAACAGAAAACTGCTTTTCATGCATGACAGCAGCCATGGGCCAAAGGTGATGTCTTTATTTACACAGCCAGCCATCAGAGTTTCTGAAAGTTCAGCCTGTAAAACTTTTACCTGAGGTTCTGGCTTTAGCTTCATATTTTACTGCAGAACTGCCAGGCTATTCTTGTGTTGGGCATTTGTCTTGCTTCATTAGAATATCATCAGATTAGGACTTCATGCTGGAAAATCAGAAAGCACATTATAGCCCATTGTGAGTGCAGCAAAGAGCATCAAACCAGAGATATAAAAAGACATGCTTTGCTTTTTTTCCCTTTACTAAAAAGTTTCCCTTGTGTTTAGCATCTCTACAATTGATTTCTTGGCAAGAGCTGCCTCATTTTTCCTTAAAACTGTGGTCACAAAACCTCATTTAGACACAGTGATCAATGATATATTGCATTTGTACTTAATCTTTATCATGAGCACTTATTTCTGTCTTGAAGAAATCCTTTTCTTGTACCTTCTTCTTGTACCTTGGTAGTTCACAGCAGCAAGCCAAACAGCTGGGATAATCCCTAGGAAAAAGCACTTGCTTTTCTTCTATTCCCATGTAGCCCAAACACACACCATTCCTGGCTTTTGGTGTAGGTGTTGCCCTATAGGCACAGTTTCAGTGCCAGAAGAATGCCTAATTCCAGGTGGACTGCTGTACTCTGAGATGTGCATTGTACAGAGGTCATAGGTCTTTCTCTTTTAGCAGTGGTCTGAACTAGATTTAAAGAGAAAAGTCTTACTACATGAGTGGTTGCTTAACTGTGATCCTCCATGAGATGAGGATTTTCTTGCTTTAGTGGGTCACTGCATACACAGTGAGAGACTGGTAATGTTAAACTGAGAAAGGAAAAGGGAGATTGAGATGAGCTCTTAGGCAGAAGTTCCTTATTTTGAGCATGGTGAGGCACTGGCACTGTGGCTGCCCCATCCCCGGCAGTGTTCAAGGACAGGTTGGACACAGGGGCTTGGAGCAAGCTGCTCCAGTGGAAGGGGTCCCTGCCCGTGGCAGGGGTTGGAGCTGGAGGAGCATTAAGGTCCCTTCCAATCCAAACCATGCCATGATTCTATGGTGATATCACATGCTCTGGAATCAGCGAATCTGCATAAAGAGTTCTGTGAGCACAGAACTAATGGACCCTGGTTCTCTATAGATTTGCGTCCACTTCGTTCTCTGCTTCTACTACAATAATTTCAAGTCTCCCATGTTCTCTTGTATGGGCTTCCTTAAACAGTATCTCCAGTTCCTTCTAAGAGTCAATCTGTCCAGTGTGTGCCTGAGTACTGCCGTGTAGTGCACAGTGCAGGGAAAGAAAAGTGCTCCAGCCAAAATGAAGAGCAGCACTGTTGGAAGTGATGGCTACTGGGAAAATGTTTGGCACTCTCCTGACCTCTGAGCTGAGGTCGGAGTTAACACTGAGCCCCACAACAGCAAGAGTGTGAATCATCACAGTCTCTTTCTCTGCATCAGCATTTCTGTTCAGGTAAGTTGGATGGTGGAGGGGGCACAATGTAGGAAAATAGGGCCTTATGCTCATGGTGGGCTCAGGATTGTAAGAGGGCTTGAGGACTGAAGGTGGATTCCTCCCGGAGTCAGTGTTTTTTGTGCTGCTGAAAGGCTCAGGGAAGGCACTTGAGAAGAAGTGGCTGGGCTTTTCTGTTTAGGAGCAACACTCTTCGAGAAAACAAGCTGCCCCAAATGATGAAATTCCTCATTTCCTTCTGAAATCTTTGTGAGTTTGCAAGTAGCACAGGTGTGTACAGCTGCTGTTCCTAAATCCTGACACTTTGGAGATGTGTCAGGTCACTGAGAAGGGGGCCCACAGAGCACAATGGTTTTCAGAGATCCCATGAAAGTATACGGGATGGGATAAGGTTAACAAGTTTTACTGTCTTCAGAGACACCTTGTGTGTGTAAACAGTTACATTCAATACTTCCTTGTAATACTGTCCCTACATGAAAAAAGGTGTATCAAGAATAACCCACTTCCCCTAGATCACTAGCTTCCGTGTGAATACAGGGAAAGCTTTAAACATCTCAGATGAGCCATTCAAACTGTGAGACAGTGTCTGTTTTACCTAAAGGAATATTTATCGGTTCCAATTTTAAACGTTTCCAGAAAATAGAACATAGCTATCCTGCATCAACATGTCTCAGACCTCTCTTCCTAGGGCTAAATTGAATGTAAAGAGATACTAAACTTTTCCCTTAATACTCATCTGGAGGAAGCTTAACCATGGTTGCCTGAATTAATCAAGAAGTAGGAAGGAATAATCAAAATGCAGATTCTCCTCTTGGGTTACAAAAAATGAACAAGTTGATACAGGGATTAAAGGGTCTACTTTGTTAGTATAGGTAGCATCACTTGATAGTGTTATGTGTATGATACAAGTTTGTAGCAAAAAGCAGACATTCACTTATAGGTCATGAGCAAATAGGTCAGACAAACAAGTTCATTACTGATTTGCTGGAGGACTCAGTCTCCTGTAAATATTTTCATAACCATTTTTGCCACATGGCTTCACAGTTGAATCGATAATACAGAGAATCATAGAATCACAGAATAGTTTGGGTTGGAAGGGGGACCTTTAAAGCTCATCTAGTCCAACCCCCATACATACAGAATATAACCTGGGTGCTCTAGAACATTGATTTGTACATGAGGTGTTTCCAATATACCACAATTCAAACCAAGTGCTGATTAGAAATGTTCAGTTATTATGGAATGGATAAAGGAAGTGATATGCAGCCTTTCTTTCACTTGTGATTAGTTATATAATAGAAAGAAACCATTTTACTATAAATGAGAACATCTCAAAAGCCTGAGCTTAAAAAATCAAATGTCTGTTGATTGTTTAAGTGTTGCTGTAGAGGATATGATTCTAATGGCAGTGACATAGAGACAGAGCAGAGCTATGAGAAAAACTTTATACTACTCTTCAGATTCAGCAGAGATTTTGCCTGGAAAGACAGAGTAACTATAGAGTAACTATACTGATACTAGAGGAACTATAACTAACTAGAGTAACTATGTTTCTTATGCTTCCGGACTACACAAGGCCTTTATTATTGACACTCAGCTGTTGGTTGGCAGTGAGGGTCAAATGAGAGCGTAAATGCTATTTAAAATGATAAAAGAACTATGGATTTTGAAAATCAGCTCTCAGATGCTTATTCCATGCTCTTCTGCAAGAGGATAAGAGGCTTTAAGATACACTGCTTAGTAGCTGGAAGTATTTTTCCTAGTATGTGTCTTTCTGCACTTGTCTGAACCAGACCTGGGCTGGAGTCTGAATTCTCCTTGTAAACCATGGAGTTTGTCAGTCAGAGCTCACAAGGTGCGGATGGACTTTTGTGTGAGGTCTCTCTCTGGGGACAAAAGCTCCTTCAGTGCAATTTCATAATGAACACATGATCTGGTGTCCCTTTCATATTCCTCTCTGTGACGGGCATTTCAAGAGCTAGTAATGCACATGCTTCCCTGATTTGGGTTGGTTTGGTTTTTTTTGACAGGTTATACACTACTAACACTGTGCTAGCATGAATCTTTCTAAGATCCACAGAGTCTGACAGTGGTATTCTCTTCTGGGGTGTAATTAGCACTGTCAGCACAGCTCATAGCTGTTTAAAGACTCCCTCATCCAGTGTCAGCATGAAATGAGGCCATTCTCCAGGAGGTCTGGACATACCACCTGTGTGTCCAGGTGCAAGGCTGTGATTTGCACGCTCCCTGAAAGGCCATGGCTTCCACCACTGCTCCTCTGCTTTGCTGCCGAGGATTTGGGACCAGAGAAGAGTACAGACTCTGGTGTAGAATGATTTCTTTCTGCTGTGATCTATGAAACGAGCCTCATATTCTTGCTCTCTACCACTCTTGTACTATGCTCTAATAGAAACTATGGCTCCTTGTCAGAGTCTGGCTCCATCACATGTGCATAACGCGTGCTGAGATAATGAGGATAATTTGCCAGGATGGCCATACTTTGCTTATGACCTCTGGGAGTTAGCAGATGCTTCAGGGATTTTATATCCACAGGGAGTGAGTATTATAATCTGATCCTTTTTGCCATGTTAGTGGGCAAATGACATGTGGGCAAATGACACGTGATCATAGCACAATTTCTCCTTCTTTCAGGCTTGCTGAATCTTCATATACAGCAGCAGGGCT